TGTGTGGAATAGGAATGTTTTATATTTGTTTTTATTTTTTTTGGCTATAATTTATTTTTTTTCGGTTTTTGCTGACGATTTATATGTAGCATTTTTCTGTAATTTCTATTATATTATATTATATATATATTATATTATATTATATTATGAAAAAAAATTCCCAAAAATATAAATTATACATCAAATGAAAGCTTATTCTATAAGCTTTCTTTGTTTTTAGAAACATTTTTCTGTATAATTTACAGAAAGTTCCCAAAAATCAACCAGAACAACGTATACTCAAAAAAAGCAAAAAACCTTGTTACACTGCAAAAGAATCCGGTATTCAAGGGTTTGCACTACAAAAGAATACGGTATCCAGAGGGTTAAGGAAGTGTAAACTACATTCTATGATCTTGTAATGCATATTAAAGTCCGCTAACATTATCCGGCTTTTTAAGGACGCTATAATATTATTCTTAATTAATTAATGTGTTTATGATTTGCAATTTCCATCTTTATTACTTGTCTCTATAATAACCCTCCCTTTCTCTCCATTATTTTTTTATAACTCCCCTTTTTTCTTAAATTTCTTTTCTTTAGTATTTTACTTTCCTATATTAATTCTCCTTTTCTATCACTCTTCTCTTCTTATCTCCTTTTTCTTTCATAATTATATATTTCATTTAAATATTATTATAAATTAAATGATTAAGTTCCTTTATATTTTTCAAGTAGTTACTTAAACAATTTTAATTAATTAAAAATAAATTCTGAAAGTTGCATTACTTGGATTATATCAATAAAAAATGGACATAGTAATCCGTATCTATTCATTAATAAGAATAACATTTTCAATCTTCTAATCAATTTTATATAGCCGAAATTAGTTTCGACCTAGACAATTAATGTTTCTGAAAAGGTACACTATTTCCATCAAAAGGTTTCTTCTAGTAATGGAATGGAATGACCTGTTTGAAGCACAAACTCCTGTAGACTAAACCCAGTACCTTTACATTTTTTTTTTTATTATTTTGTGCGAAATCTACTCATGACATCAATTATTAGATTATTGTTGTGTAACAAATGCGAAAATAATAGA